CGGGACAGACGGACGGACTGTTCTATTCCACGGACGTAATGCCGTCTCTGGTAATGACCATAAAGCTTTGCAAGTAAAATTACACCACTGCAAATCTCGCTAAGCTTGATTGAGATGTGTTTGTTTTGCTCATACACATGGGAAACACTGCTCATTCCCTTCGAGAATGTTCATCCATCATTCAGTCATTCATTTTCCGAACCGCTTTAGCCTCACCAGGGTGGCAGTGGGTACTGGAGCCTATCCCAGCTGTCTTCGGGCAGTAGGTGGGGGACAATTTAGAGTGTTCAATCAGCCTGCCATGCATGTTTTTGGAATGTGGGAGGAAACTGGAGTACCCAGAGGAAACCCACGCAGGCCCTGGGAGAACATACAAACTCCACACAGGGAGGCCGGAGCTGGAACTGAACCCGGTACCCCTGCACTGTGAAGTCGACGTGCTAACCACCAGACTACCGGGCCGCCGTTCATCCATCATGACATTAAAAACAAAATAATAATAATTCAGAATTTGCATCCATGTTACTGAGAGGGCGTCAGTGGATCTAAGTTGAGTGATTAAGGCTTGTTTAAATGGAAGGACGCGAGTCAAGGTGGCTGTGAGTCGGCAGAGATCTTCAGTGTGAGTCAGCCCGCCAACATTAGTCTTCTCGAGTCTTCTGTTATCAGTCATGTCACCATGGAAAGTACTGCCAGTAAATCCATCAATGATTGCTGTTTTTCTGCGTTGGGGAAGGAATTCAATACAACAGAATTTTTCAGAGGGATGCAGTTGCCCACAGAAGCGGGGTACACGCTTACCAATAAATTGGCCTATTTTGAGCATTTTTTTTACCATCAGCAAAGACCTGATGGCTCCAAAAGATTAGTCTGATGGATTATCCTGTGGCGGCACAGTGGTCAACTGGTTAGCACAGCCACCTCACAATGCAGAGGTCATGGTTTTGATTCCAGGCCCTGGCCTTCTTTCGTGGGAGAAGTACCCGACTCCAGTTGATTCGGAATATGCTCGGTAATGTGAAAGAAAATAGCAAGTACTGATTTTGGGCATGAGTCCAGCCACAAACGCACAAACATAAATTGCCGTGGGCATCACGGTGGCAGACGGGTTAACACAGAGGTCCAGGTTTCATATCCGGTCTTGGGTCTTCCTGTGTGGGGTTGGCATGTTCTCCCTGTGTCTGCATGGGTTTTCTCCGGGTACTCTGGTTTGCTCCCACACCCCAAAAACATATATTGTCCCTAGGTCTGATTGTGAGCAAGGATGGTTGTTTGTCTAGCGTGCCCTGCGATTGTCTGACAACCAGTTCATGGTGTCCCCCACCTACTGCGCAAAGACAGCTGGGCTAGGTTCCAACACACCCATGACCCTCGTGAGGATAAAGCGGTTCAAATAATGGATGGATGGATTGGTGGATGGATGGATTATCCTGTGGGGTAATGTGTGTTAAGAGTGATTTATCCTCACTGATCTCCAATGAAAATTGTAAAAGCTGGTCATTATTTATAACTGAAAATCATTTTTAATTGGGATGTGAAATGGAATGATCGCCAATTCAGGACTGACCTGCTCCTGCTGTTGCTGGACAAATGACCCTATATTTCACAAAGTACATCCCTGTAATTTCCAGCAGCCTCGGTGCCCTCTGGCACCATGCTGCCTCTCACAGGTCAGTCTTGGTACTCTAGCATATACCTGACTCACCTTTGTTGGTGGAAACATTGTATTTAAGGTGAGCTGTTGTTGGTTATAGTCGCTGATGGTATTGTGGTACACTCACCTGACTTTTGTGCTAGCACTGTGGGTTCCCACTCAGTGACAGTGTGGATGTGGCTGTGAATGGTTGTTTGTCTCTATATGTGCCTGGCGACTGACTGGCGATCAGCTCAGGGTGTCGTCTGCCTTCTACCCGAAGTCAGCTGGGATCGGCTCCAGAAACTCCCAGTGATCCTGTTCAGGATAAGTGGTGTTGAAAATGGATGTGTTGGTTATGTCGAGCACATCACACATAATTAGAGCTGTAAAATCACGGTTGATTTTTATATTTATTTTTTTGTCATTGTGCGGTGTCTCACATTTTTTAAAAAAAAATCAGCACATATTGCACTTGAGTATTTCTCTAAAATGATTCCCCCAGGGAGTGGAAGGAGGAGGTTTCTTTTATTTCACTTCCTGTGAGGGGGGAGGGGGGGAGCAGCAAGCATTCTGACTTGGCATGCATGTTGTCTGTGTACACAGGCGGTGGGGGGACAGCTGTCGTAGATCTTTGGTTTGTTTTTGAACTCCTGCTGAGGTCTTTGCCGTGCTTTGTCGTCTCTTCCAAAACAATTTCCCTCGTTCTTGTCAGGGTGCGGACAGAAGTGCTGTGCGGCAAACCTGCAGATTGCTGTGTGGCTTTCTTTTGCTACTTTGCACATACACACACACACACACACACACGCACACACACACACACACACACACACACACACACACACACGCACACTCACATGCACACGGCATAAAGACTCACTTGTCAGGGGAGGGGACAAAACCGTTGTGAACACTTTTTTTTTTAATAGACAGAGATAAATTATAAAATATAAACATTGAGTACTTCTCTCAGTGGAAGTGAAGAAATATTCTGTTTTTACAATTTTTTGCTCTTGTTGTCCATGGAAATACGGCTGCCAGATTTGGTGAATAAAAGCTATTTGTCAACATCATGGTGTCTGTTTCCCATGAACATTTCTATTTTGTCCTCCAGCTAAATTATTGAACTCGCAGGGCAGGAGCAAAAAAAAAAAAAAAAAATAGGACACCTTAATACTTACATGCACGCATAGTGTTGACTATATTTCCTCATTCAGTGCCCAGGGGCATTTCTTAACATTGCTGCGGATTGTTAGTAATTGATTGGAAGTATTGCATCTATTTCTGCAGTCTTAACAGAAAATTGTTACCAGTTCCATGTTACAATGGGCAATGTTATGTATCAGTGTCTTGGTGAGCATTAGATTTAATGATCCCGAGGTTTGAGTGGTGCCAGCACAGTTCAAGATGGAGCAAAATGTCTCTCGTGCAAATACTGTAAAGAACAAGTAATGTATGGGTTTCATTTCTATGGAGGCCAGGGGCGTAGCTCGTGTGATGCAGCGGATACTTGTTCTTAAGGGTCTGAAGGGAAAAGCCCCACTTGAAGACCTAGTCAAAACATAGTGCACAATTTCACCATAGCAGCACTTTATCACCATATTGCTGATTTACACTCGTGAGTTGGTGCAGCAGAACAGTGCCTGTGGTACAGAACAGTGATCCAACTATTTGCATGCACACAATTAAAAAGGATATTTTTCATAATACATTCAATTTAAATGGATGACGCACCATATGGATTCTCTCCTATTCGAGAGGAGGCTTCTAAATGGTATCAACAAACAGCTGATAATGGTAGCGATGCGCCAGTCTTGGAAAGGGTGGGATGCGCGGGGCTCGACTTCATGCTGAATTAGATTTACGCTCAGGAGTTCCGTGCATCTCTTCCACCCCCCCCATGTTTGCCCTTAAAGGCAACAGCATCGGATTTGTATCCAGGGGAAATTTGGTGCCACGAAAATGTACGAGCAGAACATAAGCTTATGTTTATTCAGGGCCTCCTGTTTATGAGAAACAGAGAGACGTGCCCGGCCTGCCCTTCTGTTATGTTACATGTGAAGAGCCCAGCCTCAATAGATGATGACAGCACGGTAGCACGGTTGCTAACATTGCTAATTCCCCCTCGCACTCCATTTCATCCAAATCGGATATCTTACAACTGGAATCAGACGCCGTCCAAATATACAACTTATTTCTTGTGAAATTCTGACTGACCTCAACAATACACAACTTCTTATTGTGAAAATACCATTTTTATGATTGAAAATGTGCAACATTATACTTGTGCATACAACATTCATCTTGTAAAATTCCAACATTATTCGGAAAAATACGACTTATCTTGAAAAATATATCTACCGGTATATTTTGGAAATGTCAGACATTTTCACTCAAATATAAAACTACATATTAAAACAAAATCAAACTAATGTAGTAAATCAATAGCACAATTGCTTACCTTGACCAGAGGCCTGGGAACTTGAGGATCTTAGATGTCCTCAGTATTGCACTCTACTGCACGGAGATGTCGGATGTTTTTCCTGGTCTCTGTTGGGGCCTTCCACCCTGCTTGGGGGTAACTGCCCCCATTGCCCTGATCACTAGTGGCACCATTTTTGCTTTTACCACCCACATTTTCTCTATTCATTCTCTTAGGCATTGGTATTCATCCGGCTTTTTGTGTTCCTTTTTTCTGGATGGTGTTACGAATTGCTGTCTCCGTCACGACTGCCGTCTTCTGATGTTTACCCACCACCGCTATTTTAGACTGGTTGGCTATCACAAGTTTGTTACTCTGGATCTGGAAGTCCAACAGGATCTTGCCCTTTTTTTTCTCAACCACCTTTGGAGGTCTCTGCCATCTTGATTCTGAGACCTCTAGTACATATTTGGTACAGACGTTACGGTACGCTATTCCTGCTACCTGGTCATGCGGCTCGATATATGCCTTGTCTGCCAGCATCTTATAGACTGCTGTGATATGCTGTACTGTCTCTGGGGCTTCTTTGCACAGCCTGCACCTGAGGTCCTGTCTAATGTGGTAGACACCGCTTCTATTGAGCTTGTGTTTGGGCCCTGTTATTTTTTTCCAAATTAGAAAATATTTTCTATTTAGAATGCAACTTCAAATTTTTCAAGTATGACTTTTTAATGGACTTGAGAAGATTCATTCCAGTAAACATCACGGCATTGTGTGAGGTTTTATTTTGAATGCTACCCGCCGGATGCAGTTGACATGCTATCCTACTTGACTTGACTCTCGCGTCGGCTTCGCCGGAGCCAGCTGTGGAGGGGGGAGAGAGAGAGAGAGAGAGAGAGAGAGAGAGAGAGAGAGAGAGAGTATGCACGGCGGCGGCGGCGAGGGAGGGAGGAGAGAGTAAAGCGTAAATAGGTGCACATCGTCACCATCATCATCGTCGGCAGCGGAGCATCTTCCTCTTCCTCATCCACATCTCCACCGCCAAGGAGTGACATTCTCTCTCCCGGATAGCAGCATTAGAGTCCTCAAGCCCCTCTCGTCCATCCACCAGCTCCCGGCGCGCACTTTCTTTCTTTCCCCCCCTCCTCTCCGCCTCTCTCCCGACTGGGTTTATTCTTAGCTCGGCTGTAGGAGACTCTTGTCCCCCTAGACCCACCAACCCACGGCACCCTTCCGTCGGCGTGCGTCCTCCCGGCCCTTGGGCTTATTTTTCCCACTTTGTTGAATATTTCATGGGGAAAATGGCGATCGGAGCCCCGTCGTACGGCGCGCTGTGCCTCCTGTGCATCCAAACTGCACTTCTCTTGTGCGTGTCCACGCCGACCGCCGGGACGCACCACTTCCCGCAGCACTACACGTAAGTAGTAGGCTCTTCATTTTGGGGAGCTCGGGAGGGAAGTAGGACAGGTGGCCCCGAGAACGCACGCCTTGCTCGTGTGCTCCAGCACGCAACTTCCGTCTGTGATGCTGCATATTATATTATATTACACAGTATTATATTACAAATATGCACGACGTCACCTGATTGTAGTAACGTGTCTCGTGTTTGTTATCGTGGCCTGGAAATAACGCGGAACGTTTTTTTTTTTTTAAACTTGGTGAATGATTACAAACATTATTTGGATTCTATTACATGACAGCAGAGGGACATGATAGATGCATTCACACCCCAGGATGCACTCACTCAGAGCAGATGAGTCCAGTCGCATCAAGAAACTTCAAATTGAGCAATAACATCTCATACTTTGCTATGATTCAGCTCAATTCAATACCACAACTTCCTCCTACAATGAACTTTAAAAAAACGGTACTATACTGTATATAAAGAATGTAAAAACGTCTAAATATTTTACAAGTAATGTATTTAAAATAATATATTAGACTAAAATATAACTAAGAAATTGCAGTGTCTCATGAATTGCACATCTGCCTCAGTGTCCCGAGATTCTGGGTTAGATTCTCGGCTTGACAAGCAAATACCAGGAACCTTGCTTCATTGTGATCAAACGCAAGGTATAAGGTCAGTGCAATTTATAAAGCAAATAAGAATGTCTCGTCTGCCTCACAGTCAAGTCTTCCCCGTGCTTGCACGGGTTCTCTCTGGCGCCCTCCCACATCCAAAAACATGCATGTTAGGTTTGTTTAAGACTCTAAAATATCCATAGATGTGAGTGTGAGTGCTCGTTTGTCAAGATGTCCTCTGTGATTGTCTGGCGACCACTCCAGGGGTGTATGCAGCCTCTTCCCCGTAGTCAGGTGGGATAGACCCCAGCTCACTTGTGACCCTATGAGGTCAAGCACTGCTGATGAATGGATAAATAGTAAATATTATTTATATTTGCCCAATTGTTGCCCTCTCCTCTCCATTCGTACTATTCCACTTACCTGATGCATCCCCCGTGCCTGCCCTTAATGAAGCCTTCCTGCATCCTCTGGGGCTTTGTTATTGAGATGATCAAGGTGACTTTGAAGGGCGGCATCACTTACCATTCACTGACGATTAACTCCAAACTGCCGTTAATGGTGCCGTTTATTTGACCGCCCAAATCCCTGCGTTAAAAAAAAAAAAAAACAAAAAACGATGTGCTGAGTGAATTATTCCTATGTTTCAGTTAATTTGCCATGATTCATCTCCATCAAGTTTTGTTGTTGTTTGTTTAAAAATATTGAGATGTTTTTGTAGATGTGACTGCATCCGGGTACAGGTTCCAGTGCCCAATTCCAATTTAATACCCATATTGGATGTTATTGGATCATCTATTTCCATTTACATTTCAAGTGACACATATCGCATATGGCTGTTTACATTCTGCATGATCAAATTGCACATATCTACATAAGCGACAACACAGAAATAAACAACATCATGTATTAAATGTATTATGGCGGAGTTGGCCTTGAGTGACTCTTTCCCCCCATTGATTTAAATGAGGGTACCTTCACGTCACATCACTGGCCTATATGTCCTCAGTTTTTTTCCCTCATTTAATAGTGAACGCACTCCTGATTTTGCATATTTACACTGTATGTAATGATTAGAGGCGGCCCGGTGGTACAGTGGTTAGCACGTCAACCTCACAGTGCAGAGGTACCCTGTGTGGAGTTTGCATGTTCTCTCCGGGCCTGCGTGGGTTTTCTCCGGGTACTCCGGTTTCCTCCCACATTACAAAAACATGCATGGCAGGCTGGTTGAGCACTCTAAATGGTCCCTAGGTTTGAGTGTGAGCGCGGATGGTTGTTCGTCTTCCCCGGCTACTGCCCGAAGATGGCTGGGATAGACTCCAGCACCCCCCGCGACCCTTGTGAGATTAAAGTGGATCGGAAAATGGATGGATGGATGGATGGATGTAATGATTAGACTAATTCTCAAATTGTGATTGAAATTTATAGCTATGCATACAGTCCAGTGACACTTACCTAATGCCCAAGTGCGCCACTGGGGGCAGTTTTAGCCACGCCCAAATCAGGATGAAAAGAAATGGTGAAAAAACATTTAAATGCTGTATCTACACAGTTTAGTTCTGCATAGTTCTTAGTCCATGTAATATATGTATTATTAATAAAGAAATATTATTGAAATGAGTCCTACAGTACTTAAGAAAAAAACAAAAACCTCAAGGAATTTCTCTGCCTTGGGTACCTGTTTAATTGGTGTCTACCATTGGGAAGACAAGTCATGTCAGCCGCAGCTACCATTTCACGCCTTTTCCTGACTGGAAGTTGATAGTTGGATCCCAGTATGAGTTTAAATTGCATCACAAACTGTTGCCACCAACATTAACACAACCATGTCGCTACTTAAGGATGCTAAAAAACTCTCGTTAAATACTCTGACATTTTATGATACACTGCTTGTTGCCAGTGTTAGCAGCTAGCCACTAAGCCCAAAGTCACACTTAGGCCTACACATGTTTCTGGAGCAGAAAATACAGTGAGCTGATATGCAGTATAGTTTAGAGTTTACATTTTTAGATAACTAACAAAAATGTCAGTTATCAAAAAATGAAAATCAATTGGTCATTCATTATGAAGTGAAATGTGTTATTTTCTGTTTTGTATTCATAAATGTTAATAAACCAAGCAAAATGATATATATATATATATATATATATATATTTAAAATGTTATATGAATACTCAATTATTTGATCCTATTTTGTTTAGGCTATCCAAATACCCAAATATTCAGTAGCTGCCACCCTCGACAGAAATGTATGATTTCACTTTAGAGGGACTTTAAGCACAATACAATATATTTGCATTTAATCTTTAAGATTCAATTAGTGGAAGGAAGGTATGTGATCAAAAGTGTGGCATGTAGTGTGAGTCGGAGGCTGAATTATATGTGCTGCCCTGTTCAAAAAATGTTGACTTTTCCTAAAGCATCTCCATTTGGCCCTACACCCGCGACACATTATGCGGGACTTGGTGCAAAGGAAGAGCCCGAGCCCGTCTGCCGTCTCAGCTCCGAGGTGCTTATAAGCTTGCAAGCTAGCTAGTGGCTAGCTCCTCTCATTGGTGGGACATGTTTCAATCACCAGATGCATTAAGCAAATATATTTTACGTAGACATAAGAAAGATTTGTGTCTGTGATTGACAGCGGTTGACGTCATTGGCTTCAGGAGGTTCAGCGGACACCCCTAAAGCAGAGACAGTGGCTTCATTTCTGATGATTTTGAAGCCTCATATTAAGATACTCGATCGATCAATCGATCGATCTATGGTATCTAATCCATATATATATATATATATATATATATATATATATATATGGATTAGATAAATATATATGGATTAGAGAAATTAGATAAATAGAAATTCCAATTTGGCAGGGTTGTTAATGACATTCTTGTCTGTTGTGCATCTAATTTACAAGACATTTTTTATTTTCACTTTTCACGAGTCAGGCAAAAATGAAGTAAAACTGTTTGTTCATCCTTAAATGCTTGACTGATGATAAATAGTAAACAGGATATTTTGCTTAAATTGATTCATCCTGCAGGACTAGTTTTTAGAATGCCAACAGAACAGTTAAATGCCAGACAAAAAAAAAAAAGAATGAATCCTTTAGATCACATGTGTCAAAGTCAAGGCCCGGGGGCCAGATCTGGCCTGCCAGATCATTTTATGTGGCCCGCGAAAGCAAATCAAGCATGTCAATTTGAATGATGCTTGCAAAAATGTGAACCAAAATTTGAAATTGTCATATGTAATCTACAATAACAGTCATTGTTCTTGACTTCTGATTTTAAAACTAGTTATTCATCAATTTGTTGTACGCTGTTTATGTACTGTAAATGTAGAGGTGATTTATATGGTTTCCCAAAATTCATCACGGCCCTCCAAGGCAAACCGTTAACTACAGTGTGGCCCACGACAAAAATGAGTTTGACATCCCTGCTTTAGATGCTGACTGAGATAATCATGTTGCACATAACGATGGTTTGAAATCCGGTTTTTGTTTGAGACGTTTTTGGATTTGAACTATCAATCTGTGGATTTTGCAGTTTCCGATGTATTCACGCTTCCTCTCATCCAACGTCCTAGTCGATTAAAAAGAATAGATTAGTGTGCCCGTTGTGTATGTTTGAAGCCGATGTCTAATGGCGCCGTCTCCGCCTCCAGATTGGCTTCTCCCCTTTAAATAAACATCATTGGCAAATTTATGCATTGTATTGATTTGGACTAAATTCATTCATTTTCATGACATTGATTTTTGCTGAGTGATAGCTCATCATAAATGAATACCGTATGTGTTGTCAGAGATTAGTGGCTTTAAGCAATTACACAGTCGCCCTCATTATATTAATGCAGCAGAACCTTCCTCAAAAGTCAATCAAACCTTGTTGGTCAAAGTTTTATCGCAAGAAAGCAAATACCAGGAACCGTCAGCTCACTGAGCATGGTGAGGATTAGCTCCACAAATGCCATTTCTTTGGGTTTTTCTGATCATTACCAGTGATGGCAAAGCGGCAGAGTAAATAGTCACTTTTCAATTAATCGCCATTTACAAGCAGAAATAGTTTTTCTATACTAATATAAATGAGGGACACTATTTTTTGCAATACTTAAAAATGCCACAAGAGTGACAGTATCACTCTGCCAACCTCTTCATGTTGGGTCGTCTGTCGGGCATTTTAGAATGACAACTTATTTTATTTTAAATCAACTTCTAGATATCTTTCTTGACAATTCAACATGTAAGACTGCTACTTCACAAGCATAAACATTGCCTGTAAGGATTTTGGGATGGGAAGACGTGGGAACAAATTCAATGTGAATTATTTTTTATGGGAAAATGAGGAAGCATGACTTGTTCCAGGAACAAAAACAAGTTTGCACTCTGGCAGGTTTCTTTGCTCTCGTGTTTCAGCCAGATTTCGATTCAGCATATCTGCCTTTATTTTTTTGGTCTCTGGTTGAAATCTGACGTATAAAACCGCCATTTGTCCTCAGTGTCACACTAACAACTAACCAGTTTGTTATTACAGTATTATCTGTTCGGAATAGTTTTGGGAACTTTTTCTTGAAATTGAAGGAATAAAACAATCCACATATCAGGAAATACTGTACGTGAACCCAGAACCACGACGAGAATTTTTTTTCATCTGATTGCTGCAGCAAGCATTAATAGTTTTCCCTGTTAGCATTCACGTCGTTCAGCTAGTGTCCAGGCTGCCTGCTGCTTTTAAATCATCGCAGGAGCGTGTTGATCCATTAAGTAATTTGTTACTTGCTGCGAGATGCGCACTGGCGATCACCATCCCTTTGATCTCCTAATTCCGAATTTGGCGGCCGTCTGATGGAGATCAGCTCCGCGCTCCCTACTCGGGGGGGCATTTCTGTCCGACCCAAGCAGTTTTATTGCAGAGATGCTGATGGCAGCCCGTCCTGCAAGTGCTGGCCAGATATGTGCATGCATAAGGGGGATAGTGGGTGGCTGGGGAGGGTTGGTGGTGCTGATGACAAGCCCATGCATTAGCAGATAAGAAGGTCAAGGGACCAGTGGTGGGGCACCAACCACTTAGGTAGGCTACATGCCAGGAAATACTCTCTCTTACTCGCTGATGTGGGGCTTTCCCTCCCAACGCATTAAAGAAGCTGTTTTAAGTGTTTGTTGTGCGTACCCTGAGGACTTCAGGTTGGCGCAACAGCTTCAGAACCGCCCCACCCCCTCCCCCATTACTCTGTTTCAAACCACGAGAAAATCTTTTTGTCATGAAATAAGATAATTAGGACTGAAGCGAGATATTTTAAAAAGAAAATATTCAACTGTTTATCTCATCGGTTAGTTACAATTGGATAGAAATTGATTTCGCATTATTATGCACAATAGCATCTGCATGTGTGGTGTAGGTATTATTTTTGCCCACTCCGGGTCACCATCCTCACATTCTATTTTTGTGTCTGTGACTTTTGAGTGCGTACGGCTTTAGAAGGCGGGTTCTGGCTTGAGGAGTGACATAGGGGTCAGCGAATGAAAAATGGCACTTCATTTGAATTACAAATGGGTTATTTTTATATTCTCTTCTCTAAGATCGATTCATTTATCTTGTGTTGGCTACAGAGTACATGCTGTTGTGGTACACATTGCACTTAATCTTCTTGAACTGTGAAATGATCCCAAACTTTGGACATTCTATCTTTTATGTACTCTTTACCTCTCTACCTCCTGGCTTGCTGCCATTCATTGCGCCAACTTATTTCGCGGCGTGAACTGCAATAACATTAGTCTGCATGGAAAAGTTATTCCTGCGAAACTTCAAGGTCGAGATTTTTTTTTTCAAACTTTTTTTTTTTTTATGATTGCGTTATTCACATTAATCAAGCTCAATCACAGAACATCTAGCTCTTAAATGAAGGTACCACTGAATGTACTTTCCGCATTGAGGCGACTCAAAAAGTATTGTTATTAATTCCTCATGCTTTTTAAGTGGTCATTTTATTGCGAGGCAAAATTCATGGCGCTCAGTATTTTGTCCCTCAATGCCCAGTGCAAATGTTGGCTGATTACAGTCCCTCCCTCAAGGCTGTTTGAATAGCTAATTAGGGGCTGATGGGATTGCCCCCCTGGACAGGGGAAAGAATTGAGAGTATGAGACATCAATGTCACAGTTGAGGGAAGGGACAAAGTGATCAACATGCGTGCCTCACAATTCTGAAGTTCTGGGTTGAATCTCTACCTTGGCCTTCCTGTGCGGAGTATGCTAAAAACTGATGAAATATACTCACGTTAGGAAAGTAAAAAAAACAAAAAAAAAAAAACCCAAAAAGTTAAACTACAAAAACTCCATAGCTGGCGATGTAAATGTGAGTAGTTGTCTGTATGTGCCCCGTGATTGATTGGCGACCAGTCCAAAGTGTACCCCACCTCTCGCCTAAAGTCAGCTGGAATAGGCTCCTGCTTACCCCTTGATTCTAATGAGGACAGACCTTGTAGAAGAAGACGGATAGATTTTCACATTGAACCATCTTAACTGCTCCTTCACAAAATGGAACATCATCGCTGTGTTCTGGATCTGCCACTAATGCTGACGCCGACGCAGGAGACACACTCTGGCTTGAACATTCCCACCCTTGCTTGCCTACAGCGAGAAACCCATCGAATGACGCGCTCAGGTGCTAATGTGAGTTGATTCACATTGAAAATGTTCCATCTTCTTCTCCAGAATGATTCACTGGGCTGCACGCATCGAGAAGGAGCTGGAAAAAGTTCTGCAGCACGTCACCGGGACTCAACAATTGAGATCGGTGAGTTGACGTCACGTTTTCAACACCCTGCGTTATTAAAAATACCGGAGTGTGTGTGTGTGTGTGTGTGTGTGTGTGTGTGTGTGTGCGTGTGCGTGTGTGTGTGTGTGTGCGCGCGTGCGTGTAAAGTGTTATTTGAATGATTATGGCTGCCTCCCTGCATGAGCCTGTACGTGTAGCAGATGGCTGAGGCGAGCCGTGATTGGCGTTATTTCAACATGTATTCGCTGTGCTCGTCGGTTTTAAAATACACTCAGAAATAAATGTTTCATTTCGGCCATGGCGTGTGATTGTGCTATAGTGTCCTGTATATGATCTGGTAGTGTCTAGCGTGCTGGTGGCAGCAATGATAGGTCGCAGTAAGTGAGTTTGGGAGGATGCTGGAGTGAAGGTGAAAGGCAGTCACTGGATGGACACTTCTTCTTCTTCTTCTCCTTTCGGCACGTCCCTATTCAGGGGTCGCCACAGCGAGTCAGTAATTTCCATCCGCCCCTGTAAACCGTCCTACCAACTCGCATGGTCGTCTTGGCAAAAGTTTTACGCCGGATGCCATTCCTGACGCAACCCTCCCCATTTCTCCGGGCTTGGGACCGGCACTGGGGAACAGTGCACCCCCAGGGGAGGGCATTGCTCCCCAGCGGCTGGGTTACTGGATGGACACTGACGGGCTGTATATTTGTGCCCAGCGAAAGCCTGGCGCACCTAGTGGCATAAATCTGCACATGGGCGGATGAGACTAGTTTTGGTATTTTCACGGTTAGAAACTGGCATTTAGGGCAGTTGTCGGGGTGAACACAGCCGACTCGATTCGCAGCCAATGGAAGAGGCACCCCTCTCATTCCCTGTAAAATCTGTGCATGGACGTTGACATGGCGGAAGAAGAAAGTGATTTGCTGCAGTCCACGCAGGAGGTCAAACCGCACAAAGTACGTTGATGAGGAAGTACAAGCAGACGCCGCGGGCGGATGGTCTTATGCAGGGGTGCCCATTACGTCAATCCTGATCGACCGGTAGATCTAGGACTGGTCCCAAGTAGATCCGAGGGGTGTAGAGGAGAAAAAAAACAAACAACCATTTGTGTGTCTTTGTACATGTTAGTAATATATTTTTTGTGTTAATGTACACTGCACCCTAATCATCCTATCAGTCTCATTTTCACAAAAAATATTTAAAAAAAGAAAAGAAAATAAAGCAGGTAAATCTTTAACCTACGATGGCGCGTGACCTACGTCACCGGAAGTTGTTAGCGCTCAGCAGTCTGCAATTGCAGCTTGTGATCAGAGTTGTTGCGCGATATCTTTTATCGTCATTATTTTCATTCAGTTTGCTTTGTGTACAGTTCACCGAGGGCACGGGCAAAGAATAAGAATCTAGAGGGCCCAGGGAAGCACTTTAAAACGGTACGTGTGAGCTACGATAGTTAACAGGCTGCAAAAGTGCGTCGCGTGCCTCCATGTCAGGCTGTTTCTCATCATGGCGTGTGTGCGTGCGTGTGTGTGTGCACGGTAAGGGGCGATTCCGGGAGGTTGGGTGATCGAAAAGTCGATCTTCGGTCCAAAAAGTTTGGGCACCCCTGGTCTAATGTTAGCCAGGACGATCACAGATCAGTGCTGCGAAGTGGGCACTTTAATCTTTTGTTGTTGGTTTTCAACCATTTATTTAGGTACAGTTTTTATTTCACTTGTGTGCAGTACAATTCAATTGAATCATTGCTTAAGCACATTTTTGTTAATTCCCCTAGATTTATGCAAGGTGTTAATGTTCAAACTGTACATAGATGTTACAGTGTATTACAATATTAAAAATACCTCTTAGGAATAAAACCTCTGCCTCATTTTTGATGAACACTAGGGTCCACTACACTATGGTATTTTATTTATTGACTACTTTTATTTATTGACTACTTTTATACATGACAATTTGTTTTGAATTACTTGTGTCGCAGTAATTATTTTCAGAATTTTGACAGATTCAATTTTCATAACTCTGCCCGCGCGTTGAGTTTTGCTGCCCTTGATTTGATAGCTTGGCTCGGCGTAAATCTGCCATTCCCGTTTGTACTACACAAAAACAGTGTTATGTGAAATTCAAAAGCTAAGCAGTCAGAGCTGCCATGTCGGCACAGATTAGCATTCGCTATTCGCGGTATTCACGAGTGAAAATACAATCTGATCTTATACAATGCAATGCTTTCTCAATGGTTGTTTGCTTTGTTCTTATCATCCTGGGTTAAAAGCAACGAGTTGCCATGTGATGACCCAGAGTCTTCTTGGTACCAAAGCCGTACTCTGAATTGGCCCCACAGTCGATTAGGGCGTGGTTTACAGTGGATTCAGTTTCATTTACACTGCACGTGTCTGAGGTTTCCTCTGTGGCCTCAAGCCAACGACTCATGGTCGTTCAAATGACGCCAGTGCCTCGTGACATCCGGGGCGCTGCATTGTCTGCAGGTCTTGTGCACGTTGTCCATATGGTTGTGCGTGTGCACACGACAGGGCATTTATTAAGATCTTTAACGCGAATCATCACACGCTGTGCTAAATGGCCCAGCGCGCTTAGGATAGATGTTTGTGAACTGGTTGTCTAGCCACACATGTGCCTGGTAGTAATTTTGCCAGGCTACAAACCAGATCATTCCCTCTTTGTTAGCTCATTTTCCCAGTTCTTATGCTTATTTTCTTCTCACAGAATGAATTCCTCTAAATTGTGTGCCAACTATAGTTTGCCGTTGAGAGGAATAGAGAGCAGAGTCGGATGTGGTCTGTTTAGGTCCCACTGCTGAGGTCTTTTGGGGCGTGAGAGGCAATGGGCTGACCACAGTATTGGAAGACTCTCAAGAACCTCAAATTAATTTACAGTCATTAAAAAAAAAGGCCTATCACATATACAGTACCGCAAAAAAGGGAGTAATTGACGTCCTCCTGTTTTTTTTTTTTAAATTATAAATTTGCACATACTAATTGCTTAAACCCTAAATACTGTATACCATGAACTATGATACTTTGATGCCATTTTGTGGCATCTTTAGTGTGTTAGACAGTTTGCAAAAACTGCAAACAGGTGAGTTTTCAGTGAAAACATGTTTAAAATGTAAATTCGTGTCGGCATTGATTCGGCTCCTGAGGTCTGATAGAAAAGTCCACTTCGACAAACATAGCAATGAGCAGTTTTCAGAGGTATTTAACTGGTCTTCAGTTTTTAACTATTTTTCCAATGGCAGTGACGAGTCGGAAAATCGTGTAAACTATCACTAACCTATGCTGAGCGAATGAGGTAGCAAATGCCTTATGGACATAAATATAAAACAAGTCAATGAAAAATAGTAAATATGGTGCTGTTGTAAGATGAGGACTTCCTGTTATGTTGAGAACTGTGTTGTCGTTTCCAGTGGCGTGCCAACTGCTGTGCATCATACTGTTTTGATATTTGGGTCACCTAATAAAAAATAAAAAAAAAAGAAATTATATACTTGCATACTCCCTTGAGGGTGTTCAGTTTCAGTGTCTTGTTTATTTCTTTACATGCAATCCAGACTCCAGTTCACTCACTCACACGCTCACACTCACTCAGCGAGATCAGAGTAGTGTGACGCTCCCTCAAAATTTGTGGCTTTGGCGCCACCCTCAAGGGCACTGCGACCTTCTTCAGCAAGGGAACTGCTGTCCATTCTGCCATCACTTCCTGGAAAAAGTCCACATAAACAATCGACAAGCCATATTTAGACCAACGTTTAGATAACCGTCACTCATTGGTGAGATTGTTGCTGCGAACGTGGCTCGCAATCAAGGGGGTCAACAGGATCTTGAAGATAGCACATACAGATGAAACTGCACAATTCATGTGACTTTCTCTACGCTTGAATGGTTAGGATTAAGGGTTGAAAAGTAATCCAGTATCTGCACAACTACCTTTCGCATTCAGTAAAACAATGTTTTTTTAAGACCTAAGATGTCCTTCAAGTGCTGTCAAAGATATCCCATGTTTAGGCTTTGTTTTTAATATATAACGTTAAAGGTACATTGAAGAGACTGTAGTTCTTGCATGCCCATCTTTTATTAATTTTAAATTTTGTATTTTTAATCTATTTAAATGTTCTATTTTACAGCGCATAATATGGTCTCAAGATAATTTTACAGTTAAACAAAAATGTTGAACTTGCGTCGGTTTTTGAGGAAGATTTTGTTGCCGTATACATTATTGTGATTAAATAACATCAAAGACCTGAGACAGTGTTTTTTTTGCCAAATTTAGCCCAATCTATATCCACTTCGAACACACTATGTAAAATCTGCTTTTGTGTGTACCTTAAAAAACGGAAAAATGCCGTTTTGAAATTTACAACAATGTCTTATGAATTTCAAAATACATGGGATCCTTCGTCTACAAATCGCGTGAAGTGAATAGTCTCAGCCTAATAATGCTAATTCACACACTGCTGTACTTACTGTATTTCATGTGGTTGTTTTGTATATCTGGCCTCATTTTTTTTTCTGACACATTTACAGCATTTATGACTTGACTACAGCATTAGTATAGGTTAGTGACAGACTGCGTTACGTTCCAACATGATGAAAGGATACATTGAAACGCGCAGTCACCTGATAGTTTTTTTTTTTTTTCAGTCTTGTGATTGGCCAAAATGAAAACCAAGTTGTGTGTGGATGTAGAGTGGTTCTTTATTTGTTTATCTGTGAATTTTTCCTTGGTTCCCAAACAACAGGAGGGTCAACATATCAGAAACATCTCCCAGTATGATGCATTGCAGTTGTACACCACTGCAAACTACAGCCATAGAAGTAAACAGAATTTGAAATAAATACTCCTTTGACGATGCCAATTAAAACTGAGCATTTTTTTCTTTTTAAAGACAGTCGGCCATCTTGTATTGGATCTCATTCGATGTGCACCGTTGTACCTAATGAAATGTCCGGTATGGTTTGTTTGAACTGCAGGAAGTAAATGTGCAAAGGAGTGGAAGTTTGGAATGGGAGAGTGTGAGG